CCGCGCCCGGCTTTTTTTTTTTTTTTTAATAAAAACACTTTATTGCACAAATTCCACAAAGGTCTCTGGCCCTGGGGCCAAGCCCACAGCCCCAACCTGGCTCCAGGCCTGCTCTTTGGTCCCCACTCTGGCCTGAAGTGCCAAGGTCTTCTGCAGAGTGTGCAGGTGTCCATGAGCTTTCCTGTGTTGGGGGAAGCCTGCCTGGGCCACAGGTAATCGGGAACTGTAGCAGCCTCAAGATGCAGACAGGTTGGGTGGAATGGGGTCCCCACCTGCCCAGGCTCAGGGGCCACAGGGGTCTACACAGTCCTTTCTGCTTTGAAACACATGGTAGATGCTGGTGGGAGGGAACATGGCGCCGGCACCAAGCAGGGAGCCCATCTGGATGGCCACACCAGCTGCCAGCAATGCTGGCCGGCCCCCACCATGCAGCAGGGAGCTTGCAGCTACCTTCACATATGAGAACACACACAGACACAGCATCCACGACAGTACCTGCAAGGGGGGACACGGCAGCAGGCTAAGCATGAGATGCACTTGTTCCAGGGAACACCCTCCTCCCCCTTCATGTCCCCACTTGCTCACCACAAGGATCACCCCTGCAGTGGTGCCCACCAGGGGTGGGCAGGGGCTCAGGATCGCCAGTGCCATCAGGTAGGCCCCAAAGAGCATGCCCAGCAGAGAAAGACCACCCAGTCCTGCCAGGGACCTGTTAGGGATGAGCAGAGACTCAGGGCTGGCTTTTCCAGGACCTGGACCCCAACCTGTGTTCCACCCACCAAGGAGCTTGGGGCCCCTTTGCACCTGCACAGCAGGCCCATGGCCAGGAAGCAGGCAAGGGGGTTGGCAGCACTGCCCAGCACCACAGCCAGGTGGTAGGCCAGGCGCCCATAGGGCAAGCAGGAAAAGCTCTGCACAGCAGGCAGCACACCATTGGTCAGGGCACTCGTGATGGCCAGCAGGCCCAGCAGGAAGGCACCATGGGCTGAGAGCAACTGATGGGCTTCAGGGTCTGGGTCAGGGATGGTGCCTGCTGCCCGGCTTGGTGGCTCCTGCAATGGCAAATCATCTTCTTCCTCATTCTCTTTCTCCTCTGCTCCTAGGGATCCCAGTTGACGTCCAGGCCCTGAGCCCCCTGTGGCTACAGATGGTAGTGATGGCAAAAGCAACAGGAGACCCTGGAAGGCAGCAGCAGAAGTGACCAGAAGGGTAGTCAGTGCCCAGAAGAAGGTGCTGGCAGGAAAACGCTCAGGGAAGTTGAGGGGAGGCCCAGAGGTGCCGTTGGTGGGGGCTGTTGGGCACTCAAGGTGGCCCACACCCTGCACAAGGGCCAGCACACAGAGGAGCAGGGCACTGAGACCCTGACCCAGGAAGAAAGACCTTAAGAAAGGAGGTGGCAGGTGGTTCAGGAAGGGCAGGAAAGTGACATTAGAGGTACAGCAGGCTAGTGCCAACACCAAGGCCAGTGTCAGGAAGGCCACAGAGTGGAGCTGCCCTGCCACTGGGACCACGTGGTGCCACAAAAGGGCCAGCAGGGCTGTGCCCACTACACTCAGTGCCTGTACCACCTGGATGGGGACCCGTTCACCCTTGCCCGGGGCCAGCCGCCTCCATAGGGTCACCACCAGCAGACCCAGGTTCCCCAGCGCCACACACACACAGAGGTATGAGGGAAGGCTCCAACCTGCAGGGAAGGAACGATGCCATGTCAGGAGCATGGTGGTTAAGGGACAAAGAGCTGCCACAGGCCACCTTCCTGGGCACACCTGCCCCATGCTTCCCTGCAACTCCTTCCTACTTACCCTCCGGAAGGTCTTTTACCACCACAGGCAGCTCCACCCAGATCCCGTTGACAGCAGCCCAGGAGCCCATGCCAAAAAGGGCCACCAGCAGGTGGGTCAGCACCAGACAGCCCAGCATGGGTGCTGCCATTCAGCCCAAAGCTGGACCCTCCAGGACAGGGCAGAGGTCACAGGCAGGTCTTTCCCCACCTAGATCCAAAGATGCTTTGGCTCTTCTGGAAACTGAACACCTCTTCTAGCTGGAAAGAAACAGACAGGCTGGCAGGTAATAGGCTGGTGGGATAAAACCAGAGTCAGAAAACAAGATGATCAGACTGCTAAAACCAGGACAACTGGAGGGAGAGGTAGGCGGGGGTGGGTGGGGAGGAGGAGGGGCCAGGACTTACCTGCACCCGCTGCGCAGGTGGGGACTGTGACCCAGCAGTGCTGGCAGGGAGAGAGGCAGGAAGCTGGCCGAGGCGCAGCTGCCCCAGAGGAGCAAAAGGGAGCTGATCTTCCTATCCACGGAGGACCCCGGGTCTGAGTTGTCAAAACAGCTATGCACTGGCCGGGCACGGTGGCTCATGCCTGTAATCCCAGCACTTTGGGAAGCTGAGGCGGGCAGATCGCCTGAGGTCAGGAGTTTGAGACCAGCCTGGCTAACATGGCAAAACCCTGTCACTACTAAAAATACCAAAATTAGCTAGGCGTGGTGGCTGGTGCTTGCAGTCCCAGCTACTCAGGAGGCTGAGGCACGAGAATCGCTTGAGCCCAGGAGAGGGAGGTTGCAGTGAGCCGAGATCCAGCCACTGCACTCCAGCCAGGGCGACAGAGCGAGACTTCATCTCAAAAACAAAACAAAACAAAAAAACTGCTCGGCACCAACGCCACCCTCACCCTCAAATGGACCTCGGGGCAAGGGCACCTCTCAGGTGCCACGCGAAACCCGAGCGCTTCTGTGACACCTAGGACTTACCGAAGCTGGTCGGGTTGGAGAGGGGAGTGGCCAGGACTGGCCTACCGCGAAGGACGTCTCGGTGCTGCCCTCCCGTTGACGTCAGGAGGGCTTCCCAGGAGCCGCCAGGGGCTCAGGGGTCCCCACGCCTCCGAATCCAGCAGCCCCTGGACCCAGCGGCGGCTGGCGGTCCGCCTGAGAGGGAGCCCGGGTTTTTTTTTTTGGTTTTTTTTTTTTTTTTTTGAGACAGAGTCTCGCTCCGTCTCCAGGGGCCAGGCTGGAGTGCAGTGGCGCGATCTCGGCTCACTGCAACCTCCGCCTCCCGGGTTCAAGCAATTCTCCTGCCTCAGCCTCCTGAGTAGCTGGGACTACAGGCGCCCGCCACCACGCCCAGCTAATTTTTGTGTTTTTAGTAGAGACGTGTTTCACCACGTTGGCCAGAATGGTCTCGATCTCTTGACATCGTGATCCGCCCGTCGGCCTCCCAAGGTGCTGGGGTTACAGGCGTGAGCCACCACGCCCGGCCTGAGTTTTGTTTTTTAAAAATAATTTATTATTCTCATTTAAGATGGAGTTTTGCTGTTGTTATCCAGGCTGGAGTGCAATGGTGCCTCCCCGGTTCAAGCGATTCTCCTGCCTCAGCCTCCTGAGCAGCTGGGATTACAGGCATGCACCATCACACCTGGCTAATTTTGTATTTTTAGTAGAGAGGGAGTTCTTCATGTTGGTCAGGCTGGTCTCAAACTCCCGACCTCAGGTGATCTGCCCTCCTCAGCCTCCCAAAGTGTTGGGATTACAGGCATGAGCCATTGCACCCGATTAGTAATTATTTTTGAGACAGGGTCTTGCTCTGTCACCAGGCTGGAGTGCAGTGGCAGCGATCAAGGCTCACTGCAGCCTTTACCTCCCAGGCTCAAGTGATCCTCCCACCTCAGCCTCCCCCTATAGTAGCTGGGACCCCAGGCGAGCATTACCATGTCCAGCTAATTTTTTTGTTGTTGTTGTTTGTAGAGACTAGGTCTCATTATGTTGCTCAGGCTGGCTTCAAACTCCTGGGCTCAAGCAATCTTCCTACCTCAGTCTCCCAAATAGCTGGGACTACAGGCACACCATGCCCAGCTACTGCCACGCTCAGCTGTTTTTACATTTTTAAATGGTTGAAAAAAAAATTAGCTGGACGTGGTATGTGTGCACACCTGGCTAATTTTTGCATTTTTTGTAGAGACACGGTTTCCCCACATTGCCCAGGTTGTTCTTGAACTCCTGGGGTCAAGTGATCCGCCTGCCTCACCCCCTCAAAGTGCTGAGATTACAGGCATGAGCATGAGCCACACCCAGCCCATCATTTGATTTTTAAATCACAACATAATGCATGTTACTTGTACACAACATTGTAAATGCTTTTAGGATTTTAATATCGTGAGGAAAATGAGGCCCAGAAAAGCTAGATGACTTACTTAGAATCCAGAAGGATGGGATTGGGACCAGACCCACTGACACTGGATTTCTAGACTGGTACTCTTCTGTTGCATCACACTAAATGTGGTTCAGGCATTAATAATACTTTGTACTTGTTCACTCATTGACCATCTCAGGGATTGTCGTGACCTACTACCCATTTTTGTGTGGACTGCTAGCTAAGACAGGTTTTTACATTTTATTTATTTATTTATTTATTATTGTTATTTTTGACAAAGTGGCTGGGCGTGGTGGCTCACACCTGTAATCCCTGCACTTTAGGAGGCTGAGGTGGGTGGATCACAAGGTCAGGAGTTCATAGATTAAGCTAGCCAAGATGGTGAAACCCTGCCTCTACTAAAAATACAAAAAAAATTTAGCCGGGCATGGTGGCGGACACCTGTAGTCAGCTACTTGGGAGGCTGAGGAGGAGAATTGCTTGAACCTAGGAGGTGGAGGTTGCAGTGAGCCGAGATCGTGCCACTACACTCCAGCCTGGGTCATAGAATGAGACTCCCTCTCAAAAACAAAAAAGAGAAAGTTTCTTGCTCTGTCACCCAGGCTGGAGTGCAGTAGCACAATTACAGCTCACTGTAGCCTCAAATTCCTGGGCTCAAAGGATCCTCCCACCTCAGCCTCCTGAGTAGCTGGGACTCCATCCCCCGCCCTCCAGCAAAAAGAAATTCAGTGCCCGTAAATAAAATTCTATCGGAACACAGCCAAGCCCATTCATTTACATACTGTCATATACCTGCTTTTCTGCTACAAGGGCAGGGTTGAATGGTTTACACATTCAACTTTGTGTGGCCCACAAAGCCTACAGTGTTTACTATCTGGCCATTTACAGAAAAAGTTTGCTGGTCTGTCTCCCTGACTAAGATTTAAGTTTCCTGAGAGAAGGCACCTTGTCTATTTCACTACCTGCCCTATTCTCAGTGATCATTATATCACCTAGGAGGTGCTGAAATTGTTGTTGTATAAATAAATCAATAATACCCTAAAATCTGTGTTTCAAAAAACACAAGCCTGGCACACTGGTGCATGCCTGTAATTCCAGCTACTCAGAAGGCTGAGGTGAGAGGATCATTTGAGCCCAGAAGTTCGAGGCTGCAGTGAGCCATGATTATGCCAGTGCACTCCAGCCTGGGCAACAGAAGGAGACCCTGTCTCTTAAAAAAACAAATAGCAAAATAAATTTTGAAAGTTCCCTACATGACTCTGATGTGCAACCAAGCTTGGCCTCACTGCTGAGGGAAAGGGTAAATCAGACAGAAATGGGGTCACACTGGCTGGGCGCGGTGGCTCATGCCTGTAATCCCAGCACTTTGGGAGGCCATGGTGGGTGGATCACGAGATCAAGAGATCAAGAACAGCCTGGCCAACATGGTTAAACCCCATCTGTACTAAAAATACAAAAATTAGCTGGGCGTGGTGGCACATGCCTGTAGTCCCAGCTGCTTGGGAGGCTGAGGCAGGAGAATCGCTTGAACCCGGGAGGCAGAGGTTGCAGTGAGCTGAGATCGTGCCACTGCTCTCCAGGCTGGGCAACAGAGTGAGACTCTGTCTCAAAAACAAAAAAAAAAAAATTGGAAGATTAGTTAATGAAGGAGAACATCACTGGGCATGCTGTGTCCCTAGATCAAATGTGTTCTTTTTCTTCTTTTTTTTTTTTGAGACAGGGTCTTTCTCTGTCACCCAGGCTGGAGTGCAGTGGTGCCATCATGTCTCACTGCAGCCTTAAACTCCCAAGCTCAAGTGATCCACCCACCTCAGCTTCCTGAGTAGCTGAGACCACAGGTGTGCACCCCCAGACCTGGCTAATTTTTGAGTCCTCTGTAGAGACTAGGTCTTGCTAGGTTGCACAGGCTGGTCTCAACTCCAGGGCTCAAGCAACCCTCCCAGTTTGGCCTCCCAAAGTGTTGGGATTATAGGCATGAGCCACTGTGCCTGGCCCAAATTTGTTCTTGTGTGGGGTGAGAGGGCTAATGCAAATGATAAGATCTGTCATTGTGGTTTCAATGGTACATGCCTTAAACCTTAGCGTCACCCAGAATTTTTAGAAAAGAGCAAGGAATAGCCATGGGATGGGGGTGGGGGGGCGCAGGGAATAACCAAGGGGACCCAAGGTCTAACTTGCCAAAGTGCAGAGTCCTTCTCACCTGGAAGATCCCCGTGCTCTCTGGAAGATGGGCTCCCTGGTGTGCTCCACTATAGCTACACAGCCCTAAGGCTATTACTTGTTGTCTCAGTTCACCATAACCTTATAGCACTGAATAGCACATTTTTTTTTTCTTTCTTTTTTTTTTTTGAGTGCAATGGTATGATCTTGGCTCACTGCAGCCTCTGCCTGCCGGGGTCCAGTGATTCTCCTTTCTCAGCCTCTGGAGTAGCTGGGATTTTTTTTTTTTTTTTTTGAGACAGAGTCTTACTCTGTCTCCTAGGCTGGAGTACAGTGGTGCTAACTTGGCTCATTGCAACCTCTGCCTCCCAGGTTTAAGTGATTCTCCTGCCTCAGCCTCCTGAGTAGCTGGGACTACAGGCGAATGCCACCACACTAGCCTAATTTTTGTATTTTTAGTAGAGACAGGGTTTCGCCATGTTGGCCAGACTGGTCTTGAACTCTTGATCTCAGGTGATCCACCTGCCTCGGCCTCCCAAATTGGTGGGATTACAGGCGTGAGCCACTGCGCCTGGCCCTTCCTTTTCCAAATCTTGACAACCTGTGAAAGAATAGCTCTTCTTAGATAGAGGCTGGGTTTGAAGGGAGAGGCATAGGCTGTCCCCATTCAGCAGGCAAGAAGATGATGACCCCTCCTACTCACTCTTTTTTTTTTTTTTCTTTTTGGGACGGAGTTTCGCTCTTGTTACCCAGGCTGGAGTGCAATGGCGCGATCTCGGCTCACCGCAACCTCCGCCTCCTGGGTTCAGGCAATTCTCCTGCCTCAGCCTCCTGAGTAGCTGGGATTACAGACATGCGCCACCATGCCCAGCTAATTTTTTGTATTTTTTTTTTTTGGTAGAGACGGGGTTTCACCGTGTTGACCAGGATGGTCTCGATCTCTTGACCTCGTGATCCACCCGCCTCGGCCTCCCAAAGTGCTGGGATTACAGGCTTGAGCCACTGCGCCCGGCCACCTCCTACTCACTCTTAACAGCCAGTGCAGATGGGTGGGAGGGGCAGGGGTAAGGATTTTCCAAGTCTCCAACCTCCAGTTTTTTTTTGGTTGTTTTTTTCAAGACAGGGTCTCATTTTGTCACCCAGGCTGGAGTGCAATGGCAAGATCATAGCTTGCTGTGGCCTTGAACTTCTGGGCTCAGGTCGGCCTCCAGCTTTGGCCTCTGGCTACCACAGGTGAGTGCCACCATGTCTGGCTAATTTTTTACTTTTATTTTTATTTATTCATTTTTTTGAGATGGAGTCTCGCTGTATTGCCCAGGCTGGGGTGCAGTGGTGCAATCTCTGCTTACTGCAACCTCCACCTCCCAGGTTGAAGCGATTCTCCCATTTCAGCCTCCTGAGTAGCTGGGACTACAGGTACATACCAC